ACCCTCAGCTTTAGCTCCCTCCACAGATTCTCAATTGGCTTTAAGTCAGGACTCTGGCTGGGCCACTGCAAAATGCTAATGTTTTTGTCTGCTAACCATTTCTTCATCACTTTTGCTGTGTGTTTTGGGTCGTTGTCGTGCTGAAATGTCCACTGGTGCCCAAGGCCAAGTTTCTCTGCAGACTGCCTGTTGTTGTTGAGAATTTTGATGTATTGCTCCTTTTTCATGGGGCCGTTTAGTGTGATTAGGTTCCCTGGTGAAAAACACCCCCAAAACATTAGGTTCCCACCACTATGTTTGACAGTGGGGATGGTGTTCTTAGCAAAAGACGTGAGCTACTGAGCATGTGCAATGTCTGTCCTATGGAAACTCAGACAAGCTAGGTCATTTTCTAGGTCAGAAAATAGGAACTGAATGGATTCACTCAACACTGTTACGTTGTATTAAATCAAGTGGCTTTTGTGATTATAACAAGTTTTCAGTTTTAGTTTAACCTACTAAAGTGGGTTGTGTTTTAAAAGCTAACACAGGTGTATTAATTAATTTGGACACAGATGCATTTAATTAATTGAGCATGTCATAAAGTTCACTTTTTTGAGTGTTGGATAATTAGTTTTTCTATTGTGACGATGTGAATTATTTCTGGAGGGATATGCCGAGCTGGCTACAGGTGAAAGAGCTTCCACCCTTCAGCAGTGGAAAATGTCAAGTTTGGCTTGTTTGTCAGCGCGCTCCGCTTCCTCCCAAAGGCATGCAGTATAGGTTGATGGGCATTTCTAACTTGCCCGTAGGAGTGATTGTGTGTGTGTGTGTGTGAGTGGTTGTTCATCTGTGTGTTAGCCCTGCAATGGACTGGCGACCTGTCCAGGGTGTACCTCGCCTGCAGCTGGCTGGGATTGGCTCTGTGACCCCGTTTGGGGCTCCCGTTTGGGCCTAAGTGGTTTAGAAAATGGATGGATGGATGGATAAATAATATGGCACCTATATGCCTGGACTGTCTGTCTATGCCTATATGGCAAATAAAAATCGTGAATTATATTGTGGATTTTGTTAAAAGGTTTAATAAACATCTCAGTTGCAAAAAAATAGAATGTTCTGGCTATTTTTTGATGTGTCAGGCTTTACAGAGTTAAAGATCCTTTACAGTAATGGTGAATATGAGATATTGTTCATCTTCTACATTGTTCTGTTGCAGGCGACACCAAGCAGAGATTTTATTTTATTTACAACACAACACTGCAGTGAAGTGAAATACATCACACATCATCTTTTGCAGGTTGCTGTGGTTCGTTTATGTGATCAGGCTTAAATCAGGCTTTTACAGTGGATTTTTCTCTCTCCTTGTTCACCAAGCAGCCATATTAGATGAACAGTGTTTGTCTATTTCCCCAGGTAGAAATATAGAGAGTCAACAGTAAAGCTGTATAATGAAAAAAAAAAATCAAATAAAAACAGGATATTGAGCACGAAGGAGCACCTTCTTACCCTCTAGGAAATCACTACATGATTTATGGACACAATCAGCTAAGGTGAGACAGGAAAAAAATGTGCGTGAATTTTTATTTTTGTGTTTTTGTGCCCATGCCTCTATGAGCATGCATTTCATTCATTGGTGTGTGAATAAAATACCTAAATATTATTAGTAAACATTAGAGAATAGTCTTTATGGTCAGCATGTGATACTGTAAAGGTATTTTCTAGGATGAAGCAGAAAATAAAGGTTGGAGGAAATTAGAAACTCACCATTAAATCCTTTTTAAAAAATTATTTGGAGTGAATCAGCAACATATTCCCCCCATGTAGCCATATAGAGAACTTCGGGTATGTGATCCTTTAACTCTTCCAGCTCAGCTGCTCGGGGTCCAGCAGTGGAAGACAGGTTGCACAGGGCAGCTCCAAGGTATGGAAATGTGCAATGCTATGAATGTGAAGTAGGTGCTGCTGAAAGAAAGCATATGTGCTCAGCAAGCCTAAAGGTTATAAAGAATGATGCTGTGGCATATCACAGAGGAAACAGCCATATTGCTAATCAGAGTGGGGTCTGCTGTATTGAGAGAGGCTAACCTTTTCTTTGTATCTGACCACTACCCCCTCTTTACATCCACCTAGTTTCTGCATCATTTCATCCTCTCTCTAGCTTCCACATTACATTTACACATGGTCAGCTGATCCTTTACTGACTGTACATTCTGGTGAGTCTTACACAGTATAGCAGCTCGCACTCAGAACTAATCCATCTGCAGCATAACTGTTTGCTACATGTAATCACTGAGTGCAGAAGACCTGTAAAGAACATTTTCCCACATTTATTCAAATAGAATGAGACAGATACTGTACATTTAACAGAAGAAGCCTCTAATATATCCTGGCACTTGGTGGGCGGCCTTCTGCCTTGACCGATTGGGGTGAGTGGATAGAGGAGAGAGAAAAGAGAAGAGAAGCAACAAGACACAACAACAAACACTGGGCAGGTTGATGGGGCCGGTGACTGCTCTTCAGAAAGGTACAGCTCCAGAGCCAGGGCTACGTGTAGAAAGGGACAGGGAGAGAGAGAGGACACGTTACGGGAGAGAGGAGACACACAGTTAATGGCTTGTAATGGTGGCATATAGATGCATGGAGAGAGAGAGAGAGATAGCTCAGAGCATCGGGGGGGACCCCAGCAGTCTAGGCCTATAACAGCATAACTAAGGGAAGGCTCAAAGTCACCTGAGCCAGCTTTAACTATAAGCCTTATCAAAAAGTCTAATCTTAAAAGTAGAGAGGGTGTCTGCCTCCCATACTGAGACTGGGAGCTGGCTCCAGACTACAAGGTTCCAAACTACAAGAGGGAAATATGTCTCACTTAGTCTCCCAAGCAACTAACTCTACAACTCTTTACAAAAAATGTCAAGCAGGCCTGAACTCTAAAGCAGTTTTGAGTTTTCTGTTGAAATCCTGTTGGTGAAATAATAAAGACTACTAGTAATACTTGCTCTTACAATTGGATTTCTGAGTTCTATTTTGTTTCAGGATTTATAGCAATTAAAAACAGGTGAACATGATTCGATCCTTAATGACTTGCCTCACTGTGTGATGCCTTTGTAATTCTGCATCATTCGTCATCATCTGCGTACTGAGTTCTGCTCCTCCTACTGCTTTGCTGATGCCACAGTATAAAGGTATAGCACGATCCCAATGTCAAAAACCTCTGACTCCTGGAATGCGGCCCTGCACTATTCTCTCCCTCACACAACAATTTGGTGTCATTCAGTGTGATTAGAGACTGTGGTCTAGTAAACAAGATTTGTTTTCTTTGTTGTCATTTTCTCTCATCAGACCACAGCAGATCTAAATCAATAGCCCAAATTACTCAGCAACAGGAAGGAAAAGAAGTCTTTGAGGATTTACACTGATATTTTAGCCTTTTTAAAATTGGTCTTGTGTGGAATTGATCATTTTGTTGCTGGAATACAGGGCAAATGTGTAACTGTGCACTGCAAACTGATGTGTGTGCATTAGTTTGTTTGTGTGTCAGTGGAATGATGTTTTACATTGTTTGGACAGGCTAAATGAAGGCCAATAGGAAACATCTTGGCAGTGTATTATTAAATGGGGCTGGTTTGCTGCTGGGTTGCCAAATTAGAGATAGTGGAAATTAAGCATTAGGCTAATGTACATACAGCAAATTTATTTGTGAGCTAAAATACATTTACAGCAACTAAGTTGTCAGCCAGTCTTAGCAAAGATTATGCTATATATTGGCAAAGTAAAAATCTCTTCAAGAAGAGTGTTTGTCCTATGGGTTCTTTTTTAGCTGTGAGCACACAGACTCACAGTCACAACCTGTTAACTTTTAACTAGCAGAATGAAAAAGTGATTGAGGTAGTTCTCAAACAAAATGTGTAAACATATTTGCATATTGATGTGTAAAACCACCTTTCCTTGTTTTGTTCCTTGTTTTACTGTAAATGTTAGGAGAGAGATTGAAATGTGATCTTTCTAAATAGTTCCTTCTGAAGGGTTAGTGCAGAATTAGTCATACAACAAGCAGCAAATATAAAACACTGGACTTCTTTGTCTTAGATTAACTGACATACCTTTACAAAATAGCTGATAAACAGGGAGGTGAACCAACCACAGTCTTTCTCAATAAAAAGTAGGACAAGTAACTTGTTCAAAAATACTCAGTTATTTACAGTATTATGAATGCTGTGGTATTGTTTCCAAAGCTGGGTCTGTATTCATAGCCTTTTTAGTCTGTGATTAACATAGAAGTATATAATGGATGCCAATTCTAATAATTGGACTCTGTTGTCAGGAAGATGTGTGGTTGGGCTTCTCAAAGGCTTGCAGTCACTGAGAGCAAACTGGGTCTTGTAACGAGGGATGGATGCACTTGTTTCCAGGGCAACAGCCATGAGGGAATATTCAACTGAAGACAGACTTTCAGATGCACAGCACAGTGGAGGATTTGGAGTCCTGGTCCAATTCTATAAATCACTGCCCTTTCAGTTCCATGCTTCCCACGCGCTGAGTCTTATTTAGTTCTTTTACCTTCATTTTAAAAAGAATTGGTACAAGACTACAAGGAATAATTGTTACAGTACAGTCTCCTTGTCACAGTCTGGATGTGCCATTTTCAGACTTTCCAAAAAAAAAAGTTCTAAAGGCTATTTTACCTGTTCAAAAACACATTTGCAGTCTGGCTCACACTCATCATATTGGCTTGTTCATGTCTTGTTCTTGTCTCAGTAACAATAGCATGTAGGATATGATTTTTCATCTTGTTATCTTGATTCTCCTGTCAAATATTTGTTTAGTCTGAGACCTCAGTCTGCTACTGAGATTACGTGGTCTGTGTCACATAAACCAACTGTGCTTATATCATCATCAGTCACTTTCTCATCCTACACTTGGTTTTATCATTAGCTTGTAAAAGTTGATCCAGCTATGTGGTCTACCTCAAAACCGCTTGTTGTCACCCTCTTAATCTTGGCCTGTGCTGTCTTCCCTTCCAGAGCTCCCATCTGGCAATGATTGACACTCTGATGATGGCCTATACAGTGGAGATTGTGAATACCGAGAAGGTGATGGCCTGCATTCGTCAGTATTCATCCTACAACCCAGAGGAGGAAACGCCATATGATACAGAAGATGCAGTGACCACCTGGATCAACAAGGTGGGCAAATGTCAATAGCAGTGTCTATGTCTGTGCATATGGATTTCAGTCAGCAATAATTGATTCCAAAAGTTAAAGTGTCATGATTGAAAACTAGTATCAACAGAGCATTAAAATTGTTGGACCATGTATATTTAGAAATGAATATATGGGCTGTGTTCCAAGACATGTTGTGCGTGCAAAGTTTCTTCAGGAGCTACAAGGAATGAAACACACACTTTTTAAAACATTTCTTAAAATGTATGAATATAGTACATATTACATATCAGAGAATATGGTCCAGTAGCCTTTTGAACCTACCTGCACTGTTGCATCTTTAAATATAAGATATGATTGATCATCTTCATGGCCTATATGTGCAGATGACTTGGGCTCTCCAGTACAGTACTAGAAGGCCCAGTCTGTTTACATTCTTCTGGGAGGAACACTGGGCTGCTGCCAGCTTCTGAGCTTTTTACGCACACACATGCAATACACACACTCACAATAGCTAACAGGAGGTGTGGTCATGGAGGCCTACTGGTCGAACATATGGCTCTCTGTTGGGGTCCAGGAGGTATGCCTCCCAGCACAGATTCTGTCAAGAGACAATAACACGCAACAAAAGCACGATAAAATTGGTTTATTCTTTCTTCATAATGGTAAAACTCATGATCACAGTGCAGTCATATCATTTACAACCACTTTATATTAAATGGAATATTTCACTATTACACATATGCTAATGTTCCATTCTTATTAGATTTTTTAGGTTTATAACTTTTTTGAGAGCAATATGAGCTGTAGATGAAATTTCAGACATTATAAAATCTTTATAATGAACTTTACTCTGATGCTGCTGCTGGTTTAGCAAAGTTTAATGTTGTTTGTCCTCCTCCTTTTAGGTAAATGAATATCTGAAGGGCATTATGGCTCGGGAGCAGAGGAAGAAGGAGACACAGGGTGCAGAGCATGCTGGAAGCCCTCGGGTGAGTGTTTTTCTTCTCTGTCAGCTTTAACCCACTATCAACTATGTATAAAAGCATGTGGACATCACTGGTTTGATGGACAGTTTTAAACAAGCTAAGTGAAATCAATTTCCTCTGCTTAATGGATTCAGAACAACATTTTCCTCTTGACTTCTGTTTGGCTCAGAACTGCTTGCTGCTTTAATATCTGGCACCAGTTTCCTCGACAGATCTTAAGCTCCTAAAATCTAAGGAAATCTTGCTCACATATGTCTGAGGTTTAGATGAAGCTGTCTGTATTTATTAAATAAAACAGAGAGAAAGCCAGTCGACATCGACAACATCTTAAGTTTACTCACCCTGATGACTGTACAAACCTCACTTCTTTTATTTGTGCCTTAACCAGCAGATCAGTGCTCTCTAGTCTAATTAGGCCAGCAGTCATTTAGTGCAGGGTGTGTATACACACACACACACACACACACACACATATATATATATATATTAAATCCCACCCCCTCCATGTTAATGGATGGAACATGGGCCAAAATAAACTGAAAGTACAGATCAGATAAAATTTTCTGGTTAAGTTTGTTTTAATAAGTTATTTGATGAGGGTGTATGCTAGAGGATTTGACAGCTTTGACTGGCAGCCTGATACGTCACTCACTATGGTGGAGGATCTGGTTGCAAAATGCCGAGATGGCAGCTGCCATATCGATGATATTTTGGTTTTACTTTTGCACAGTGGATGGAAGAGGTGACACATCGGCCATCTTTTATGTACAGTAAATGGATTATAATGATCACTCAAAACATGCGTGCAGTATTTCTTCATTATAAATATTTAAATGTTTTCAGGTCAGTAAAAACACACAAAATATGGAATATTTCCAGTCATGATCAGAACTCCACTGTTGCAGTCAACTGTAACATGATTGGTCAGTGCTGTTTTTATTTTTATGACATTCAAGCTAAGCATTTTCAGAATTAGAAACAGAAGATGATTTCTAACCTTTTGCAGATGTGTGACTCCCTTTTCTGCAAAGAGAGTCACACTCATACAGCAGTCTATTCATTGGAAAATAGATTAAACTGATCAGCTAACACGGAGTAGATTAGATTACATCCGGTGTTTTACTCTGATGGCGTCATACTTTTGCTGTTAACTCAAATTACCATTCAGAGAGCTGTGACGTTAATCAAATCAGGAGAACCCAAGAAAGATACAATTGATTTTTTCATCCTCTTGCTGCCTTTGATATTTATTTTGGGGGTTTCAGTACAAAGCAGCTGTTTTCTCACATGTGCCTTTTAAGGTGAGAACTTGGCAGCTACTTTGAGTGGTACCTACATGTGGTTCGTTGATGCCTCCAGGAAGCATGGGAATTAAATATTTCCTGAGCCTCTCCTTTTCTAGAATCAGCTTACATTGTCAGTGGATGCAGTAGTTGACTGGTTACTTTTATAGTATGCATTGTGATTGTTTTTTTGTTTTCCTTCTCTTGTATTTGTGCCCTTTTAGTTGCCTGTTTTAACAGTTCTTGTGTAGGAGAATGTTTTATTTGTCTTTGCAACTACTTTTCATTAAATGTTGCCTGTGTATAGCATCTTTGAGTATCACGGAAAGCACTGTAATAATTAAATATATTATTTTAGTATCATTATTACTTGGTTTCTTTTAGCTATCTTAGGGAGGCCACTTATGTGACCTTCTTCCCTTTAGCGACAGTAAAATACATTACATGACTTTGTTGGTGCCATAAGGATATAGGGGCACGTTTGGACGCTTAAACAAAAGGTTTAATGAAACATGCATACTTATTGATGGGCCCATTGGCTCTAACAAGAATCTAACATGCACACCTAACCAACAGACAATACTTGTGAAAAGACATACAGTGCCTCCAGTGTCACAATAACAAGTGGACCGTGTATTCCCTGTTTGGATACAGTAGGTTTTGATTCTACTCTGACAGTGGCTCAGTCAAGTGAATGGTGGGAGTCATGTAAATCTTAAACTTTAACTTTAGCTTCAAATCCAGATCACAAGTCTCTGATGATTCAGTTTATTGTCATGCATTTATTTGATTTGGGATTTTAAATGTTTCTTCTGTTGTGCTGTTTACACTGAAAGCCATTAAGGTGTGTGTCTGTGTGTGTGTTTGATTTAAATACTGACTGTGAACCCTCAGTGGATAGTATTTGGGCCAACCTTAACTAAACACTTATTCTGTACCCTGCAAAAGCAAAGATACTGAATATACTCAAAACTTAACACCACATTACACTAAACACAGTTTAAGGCTTATTTGGATTATGTAGGCTGCTTTTCTTGGGCTCGCAATAACATGGGTTCTTTCCCTTTAGTCTCATAGATGTCACGTCTCTCCTTGTATTACTAATCGCATTACTACATAATCTCACTAACAGGTATTTCTTTGTTGTTTGCTTGTGTTTTTCCTTTTGCTGTGCTGCTGCAGTCGCCAACCAAGTGGTACATGAAGCTTGTGCCTGTAAGTCAAGTAATCAGGCCTTTGCTCTGTCATCTGCGTATTCATGGTGACCGTGGTCCCTGCTCATCCCTATTTCTGTCTTGATTGCCATCATTTTATCAGCTTGTGACTCTGCTGTTTCATAAACACAGCTTTTCTCTGTCATCCTGTTTCAGCTGTATTTATGTAATAATAATAATATTGAAGAGAATTCTTGAAAATGTCTAACAGCAGTAGAGCATGACTGACATTAAGAATCACTTATACTTTATTATTCTGTACAATCTCTTATCATTGCTGTTTAGTATAAACTTATGTTTATTGATATCCAGCATTTCAGGGTTTAAACAGTTTGAACTGTTCTCAAACACACTGCCTTGTATTTGCTAATAGGTTTTTATCAGTGGAGCTAAAAACCCTTGGGGAAATCACTGAAGAGGTCCCTAGGGATTAACAAAAAAAGCTTAATTTTATTAGAATTTCATTTCAGAGATGGGATGTCTGGGAGCATTTTGCATGAAATTATCTCAGTGTCTGTGCCAGCACTCACTGCAGACCCTCTTTTTCCCTTAACTTTGTGTAAATATTGTTTGAATGTGTAGACATCTGTATGCACCTACAGTTACTGACACTGATACCACAGTTATAGCTGTTTTTCACTTCATTTTACATGTTTAAATGGTAATTATTTTGTGCTCTATATCATGAGGACTAAATAATCAAGATCAGATCACAGCATCTGGAACAGTCAGGCACAGCTGTGCAGCCATACTCACTGTCACACTGTGTTGTTTTCTCTCAGTGGTCTCATTATGTCTGTTTCTTTGTAACCGTTTACTGCACATGCCTGTTCTGAGCCATTCAGTTACCTTCACACATGAGTAAATCTAATGAAGCATCAATGTGTCCTGAAGTGTTTGTTGATGCTTTGAAGAGACAACAACACAGGTTTACACTGTTACACATGACTCATTTTGCATCTGTAGATAACAATTTAAAAAAGAAACAATAGCCTGGCACAATAGACGCTGCACATGTAGGCAGGTATTGTTGCACAATGCACTCTGGTTTATGGCTATGCATTTCATGTTATGCAGGCTCGGTACAGGAAAGAGCAGACCTCAGCCCAGCCGGTTCCATGGATACCCCCACTGGACAACCTACTAAAAGACAGCGCAGATGGCTCAGCCCTGGGTGCGCTGCTGCACTTCTACTGCCCTCAGCTGCTGCAACTGGATGGTAAGGAAAGGGCATTAACATTTGTGTTGGTTTGAGACTCAACAAAGAAAAAAATTACCTAAATTTATCAGCAGAAGGTTGAATAGGCCTTTTAAACCAAAAAAATTAGCCTGAAATTTTGCTGAATTGGCTGAATTTTTTTTTTTTTTAAAGCTTTTTTTTCTATTTCTGTTCTTTTTAAACTGAAACTTTTTTATTCTGTTCCTGGCCTGGTTTTATCCCTTACTAATTTTGGCATTAAAAGTTTTAATTGAGTTTATATTTTATTTTCAGGATGTGTGATTACAGTGTTTGTAGATAGGTGTGTGTTATTCCGTGGGTAGGTGCCCACCTCCTCTCCACGGTTGATTCATTAGAGCAAAGATCAGTCGCAAACAAATGATGCAACATAATTACATCACCTTGTTGACGAAGTGTGCTGATAATGGGACCATGCACATACCCATTCACACAGTTATTCAACTAAACTGAAAACAACACAAGGACAAAAGATCAATTAGTCTGTCAAATCAATCATTTGTTTGCTATTTAAATGCATTAACACAGCTCCACCCACAGGCTGTAATAGGTCAGTCTTTCACACACCATTGCAATGGAATACTTCTGATTCAAAGCCAGACAACACTGTTCTTTAACTCACCACACATCTTTTTTCCAAGTTCCATCAGCAAAGTAAAAACCACTGAGGTGGGCTTAATGACTAGAACCACTTTATCATCAAAGTCATACTTAAGTCACAGTGGCCCTGACAACTGATGGCTCCCTCTGCTCGTTCAGATGTTTGTCTGAAGGAAAACATGACGCTAGCTGATCGGCTATACAACCTGCAGCTCATTCAGGACTTCTGCAAGGACAACCTGAACAGCTGCTGCCACTTCAGCCTGGAGGACATGCTCTACGCCTCATCCACAATCAAGGTACTGCCCATTCCATTTCCAAAGTGAGATGACCACTTTAATGTTTGAACATTTTTGACCCCATCCCCTCCTGTCACAACCCATTACAGTTTACTTAGTGCAGTAGTGTAGGTCTTAGGGTGACGAACTGCTTGTGTTTATACACAGCGTTACTTTAATTTGTTTTATTTTATGTCTTTATTTACTTGTAGTATTGTATTTAAATGTAGTTCCCTGATAGACTAGTGGTTAGGGAGCAGTTCTCTCACTGCTGCGGCCTGGGTTCGAGTCAGGGTTGTATCAGGAAAAGCATCTGGTGTAAAACACGTGCTAAAATGTCAACATGCGAATCGTCAGTGTGACATTTGGCTGTGGCGGCCCCTAATATGAAAAAGCCAAAAGTGACATTCATTTACTTATAAAAATATGCAAAAATCATTTTGGAAATGATTTTTTTTCTGTGTACGAGTATGTATTTTGAGTCTGTAACTGGTGTCGGTGATCATTTTTAAGGAGTTTCTGTTCTTTCTAAACATAAAATATGCACATTGTCACAGAATAGACAGCTCTCGCTTGACACATGTATTGTGACACTTGATCCTGTTGGGCTGGTGTCCAGGAGTTCTCTCTTGCAGTCCAATTCTCCATCCTGAAATTTCTTTTACAGATAGTGTGCAATAGTCATTACACTCTCAGAGAAATACAGTATCTGTCAGAATTTAAACTGTAGAACTGTTACCACATTGAAACGGTGCCTTTAAAATGTGCAGCGCCAATTGTAGGCAATACTAAAAAAACCACCATCTGAAAAAATGTAACCCTGTTTGACAGTTTTTCAAACTAGTATCCAAATAAAGGTGGTTCTTCCTTAAAAACCAAGTGGGAAATGTCTGGTCTTTGTTGCCTCATTTACAAAAAAAACTCCCATTGTCCAGATATTAAGGTAACGATAGCTTCAATAACCTGATAAAAATCCCGCGTGTTAATTCATTCATAAGTTTTTAATGAAACTAAATTGGAAAATCATATGATGTATCCAGTCAGTAAGGTCAAATGAAACAGGAGAAAGGAGCAGCTCTGCAGGACAACGCGCTGAGTCACGCCATGGAAAACAATTCAGTTCAAACTGTCTTCATCAACCACAGTTCTGGGCAGCTGTACTGAGCCTGCACTCCTAACATATATACTATATCTCTGCTTCTTTTTCCTTCCTCATTTGTCTTTCCTTCTTTAATTTACTTTATACTGCTCATTAATAATACCATACCTGAATTACTGTGCTGAGATATGGGGAAGTACTCATAAAAGAAATACTAACCCAGTTCAGTTTTCTACTTCAAAAGAAATCAAAATGAATTCTAAATAAGATGAGGTATTATGAATCAACAAATCTTCTATTCATTAAATGAAATATTTTAAATTTTAAGGATATAATAGGCTTTAAAATAATGCAAATCATGTATAAAGTTAAAAATGGGTTGCTACCAGAAAGTACCCAGAGGTTGTTTAAAATGAGACATAGCGAATATGCTTTGAGAGGAATACATGTTTTTGAAAAACAAAGGATCAAACGAGGGATTTAATATACCAGTGTTAAAACCTTACAGTAGCAATAGTTTGCTGACATTGTTTTTCTGAGGGATTAAAAAATATCCCAGCAGAGTTGTTGCCTGAGAGACTGCAGCAGTGCAGTCAGAACTGCGCACCGAACTAGCTCGATTCAGTAACCTTGACCCAGTTTCCAGGCAGTCACACCCTCAGTAGATGAATTCCATGATCTGTCATTTTGATGGAGACTTCATTATAGAGACTGTGCCAAGACA